AATCAAAAGGATGTAAAATGTAGAGTTGAAGCCCATGCGGGGTGTTTTCTTACACAAAAGACAAAGGTTAAGAGAAAGAGGGGCGGGTAGGGCTCAGATGGTCTATAAGATCGTCCCTCTCCAATTGCCCAGCCAGAGAGGAGAGGAGGGGAGGGGTTCGCTTTCATTATGGTTTAAAACTCTCCTCTGCATGCAGGCAGCACTCACATCCGTCTGAGCTGATGCCAGCTTTCACATAGTTATAAAATGAACTGCCTCACTTTCTATCTGAGGCTCTGGTGCTCTATTTATGAAGCAAGGGTTTAAAATGTTTTCATTCAGTGTATTTTGACTATGTTTCTCTTCCCCCAGCTCCTCGCCACCTCCCTACACACCCAACTTCATACCCCCCTCTCTCTCAAAACAAAAACATGAGAAACAAGATACCCCCATAAAAATGAAAATCAAAACAAACCAGCTAAAGACTAATGAGATTTAAAAACATAGAGTCAAAACAAAAGAAAAAGTTCACAAAAACACTACTGAGTTCATTTTGTGTTGACCAATGACTCCTGGACACGAGGTCTACCCCAGAGTGTGGTTGATTCACCCAAGGACCCTCCAAAGGAAAGAGTCCATTTTCCCTTTGTCATGAGTATCAGTTACAGATAGCTTGGTTAGGGGGTGGGACCCCATGTTCACTTCCCTCTCACAGAGCTGGAAACCCATCTGGCCTGAACCTGAATTGGCCTTGTGCATGCTGACACGGTCTCTGTGAGTTCACATGTGAGTTCAGCCTGCTGTGTCTGGAAGACACTGTTTCCTCGAAGTAATCCATTAGCTCTGATTCTTAAAATCCTTCTGCCTCCTCTTCTGCATGGATTCATGAGTCTTGATGGAAGAGGTTCGATAAAGACATCCCATTTAGGGATGAGTGCTTTAAAGTCTCTCACACTCTCCACATTGTGTAGTTGTGGGTCTCTGTGTAAATTTCCATCTACTACAAGAAGAGGCTTCTCTGATGTGGGCTGAGCAAAGCAATGATCTATGGGTTTAGCAGTTTGTCATTAGAAGTCATTTTATTGTTATTTTCCTTCAGAAGAATAATAGTATTAGGTTTCTCCACACACCCTAGTCCCATGATATATCTAAACTCTCAGGTTCCTGGTCACTTTAGCAATATAAGGGATGAGTTTCATCTTAGCCTTAAATGAAATCAGAAAGTGGTTGGTTACTTCCATAACATTTGTGCCACTACTGCACCAGTGTATCTTGCAGGCAGATTGCTGCTGTCGGTCACAGGACCTCTCTCCTATGGTAGCATGCAGAGTGGCTTCCAGTACTATGAACATTAGTCAGTAGGGGTAAAGATTCTAGTTAAGCGCCAGACTGATCTCTGTGTTCAAAGATGTAAGCATTATCTTCAGCAACAGGGCCTTGCCATCACGAGAGAAAACAATAGCCCTGTAAATAGCCTGTGATGCTTAGGGGGTTCCATGGGACACCCTTTAACAACTATTCAACAAAATGTAACCTATTCCTAGCAGTGGAGGTTTTGCTTGGTAGCATAAGATGTCTGGTTGGGTTGTTGTCGTCCCTATTATTTGGTGGCTTTATTCAGATCCCTTTCACATTAAATAGGGACAGGAATGGGTAAAGAAGGGAATGGGGGAGGGATAACTAATACGAAAGGTCATTTGAAAAACCATCTGGAAACCTGAAGCAAGGAGATTTATTTCTCACACTAAAGATTGAAGCATTTATTTAATTATTCTTTATCAATAAAAGCTCGGGAGTCAGATGTTAGGGTAAGAACCTGAATAATCAGGGAAGCAGCAGAGGAACAACCAGTGACCTCCTCTCTCCTCTCTCCTTCTTCGATCCAAAATGGCTGAGAATCTTTCTAAGCCCCTCCCTCCTGTTTCCTTTGTCTTCCTATATATCCTCAGTGCTCCAAACTTTATGGCTAATTTTGATCAGCTAGTGGCTAGCTTTGCCCTCTGATCCAAAGTAAACTTCGTTGGTAGTCCTGGGAGTGCTGTGAGACAATGGTCTGTACTCTGTCACTTATATTTTAATAAAACACTGATTGGCCAGTAGACAGACAGGAAGTATAGGTGAGACAATGAGAACAGCAGCATTCTGGGAAAAATAAGATGCAGTCTGCAGTCGTCATCCAGACACAGAGGAAGCAAGATGAGAATGCCTTGCTGATAAAGGTACAAAGCCACGTGGCTAACACGGCAAGAATTACGGATTAAAATGTAGAAATTAGTTAATGAGAAACCTGAACTAATAGGTCAGCCAGTTTATAATTAAAGTAGACCTCTGTGTGTTTCTTTGGGACTGAAAGGCTGTGGGAATGGGAAGTACAGAAATCTTCTGTCAACATGGGAGTGTCTGAGTACGATCAAAATATCCCACAACAGATGATGACTACTAAAACTTCTAGGAGGCCGGGAGCTTCTCCTCACCTGGAGCTTCACTGCAAGGTCTGCTTTTCTTCATAAGACAAGAATGAGAATCTATGACACCCTAGGGTCTGTTTGCAGCCACTTTCCATCAATGAGAAAAGAGACAGTGTAGACAGCAAATCAGCATTGAAACAGAAAATGGAAAGAGCCATGCTCTGCTCAATTCCTCAAGTGCTAAATCCAGTTAATGTTCCATGATTATTTATATAAACAGTCCTTTTATTCTAGCCAGTCTCAGTTTGTATAATGTATATATGTTTGTACATATGTATGTAGGTATATGTGTGTATATGTGTGTGTATAATCTTGCAACCCAAAATCTTAACACACCTATTTAAAAATTAATGTAGGCTGGGTGGTGGTGGTACACGCTTTTATTCCCAGCACTTGGGAGACAGAGGCAGGAGGATCTCTGTGAGTTTGAGGTCAGCCTGGTCTACAGAATGAGTTCCAAGACAGCATGGCTGTTACACAGAGAAACGCTATCTCAAAACAAACAAACAAAAACAAAAAACCCAAAATTTAATATAAATGGATTACAGGGGAAAGCATTTCCCTAAAATGTACCCTCAAACATGATAGACAGGTTTTAATGCCAACATAAACACCACGATTTGGGGGAGAGATATAAAATCTAGCCAATATCATGCTACATGAAAATCCAGCTAGAATAGCTTCATAATAACACGAGTACCTCACCCACTTTTCTAGAACCATGACAAAACACCATGACCAAGGCAACTTATAAAAGAACGTGTTTAATTTGGTGCCTCACAGTTTTTGCGTTATAGACTATGATCATCATGGTGTGGAGCATGGCAAGAGGCAGGCAGGCATGACTCCGATTAATAACTGAGAACTGACATCTGATCCACAACCATGAGGAACAGGGAGACAGTGAGAGAGCTAACTGAGAGTGGTGTGGGTGCTTTAAACCCCGAAGCCCACCTTTAGTGTCAAACCTCCTCCAACATGGCCACACATCCTCATCTTTCCCAAAGAGTTCCACCAAGTGGGCACCAAATATTCTAACATATGAGACTATGGGGACCATTCTCATTCAAAACCCACACCTACCTTCTGAGGTTGGACTTGATAACCTCATTGTCATACAGTGTTGGCTACTGTGAACAGAGAGAATCTGAAAAGAAATGAACACACACGAGAATGAGCTAGGAGTCAAGCCCAGCAGGGCCTTTGCATACAAGAGGTGTAAGGAAAGGTAACCTTTATATGCAGATCAAATGAAAATTGAAGACATATTTTCTCAATATCTAAATGATGTCATAATTAAACTACCAGAATATTTGGGAATTATTAGCAGTGAGATATTTTCTCATCTCTTTTAACTGTATTTTCAACTTTGGTTATATTTTAAAGAATGCAAACAGTGGTAACATGTGAGAACACAAAGTGCATCCTCAGCTTGCATGCTCGTAGGCCTTGACTAACTGGGATGATTTTTTTCTTAGACCGGATTTCGTATGACTGGAACTCAGTATACAGCCCAGACTGGTCGCAAACACATAGTCCTCATGCGACCACCTGCTGAGCACTAGGATAATAGCTCCACACCACCAGACCTACATCAAGGGCACGGTTAAAATTGGGAATAAAGGAGAGACTGAAGAAAGGTTCTCTGTATTCAGTGATCTGGAAACCATTATTTCTCTGATTTATTACTGTTCTAAATTTTAAATAATTTCAGATTCATGAGTTGGAAATCTATGAGACAGGTTCTAATCCGGTTTAACCCAAAGCCTACATCCACATGCACTACAACAGGAAAACCAGAAATGCAATATTGGAACACTGTGTGTAGAGTTCTATGTTATCTTCCCACATGTAAATCTGTGTAAATAAACTTCATGGTCAACTCGAAGAGCTACTACATCACTACAACGATCTCTCTTGCTCAGTCATTTTCTGGTCTCTTCTCTCTTCTTTATACCGATGATCACTAACTAATTCAACACCCCTTCTCTTGAAACCCAGGATACCGGTCCAGGCTGGGCATGGTGTTAATTTAATTAACACATGAAATTATGTCCTGTGCTTGTGCTAATTCCTCCAAATTAACTTTGTAGGAGTATGGGTGTAACTTTGTCTTTCAGACAGGCTTTTAGGTTTGATTTTGTGAAAACTTCCCTATGTGAACAGCACCTTTTCTTAGCGTGAGACTTTTCCTTGAGTTTCATTCTAGAGTGAGCCAGCTAAGTCACCAAGTTTGTGCTTCCAGCTTTATTCCCTCCACACATGAGCAGCAAACACACAGCCTTTTCTATATGGGCTGAAGGTACTTAGTAACACGGCTCACTTTCAATTTTTTTAAATAATTACGATTATGCTATAACCTAGCCTGACGGGAAATGAAAATGCTCCCCCTTTATCTCAGAAGAAACACAGCAGAGAATTTAAGAACTGAGAACGGAAGACGGCATCTTGTTCCAGTCTTCCGGGGCACGTTTTTTCTCTGCCAAGAGGCCGAGTGAAGGACAGCCCCGCCTCCCCTCTTAGCCCCGCCCATCGCCCCGCCTCCCAGGCGTCGCTACGCCTCCCACCGTGGCGGCGCCATGGCGGCCTGTGGGTTCCCGGCGCTGGCTAGAGCGACGCTAGGGAGGCCACCGCCTGGGGCTGAAGGCTTCCGACAGCAGCCGAGCTCAGCCCTCAGCTCGGCTTCCGAAGGAGCCGGCGGCGGCTCCGGTTCAGGCTCGCGGGGGGCGCCCGAAGGAGAGCCGAGGCATCCGGCGAGCCAAGAGTTAACCGCGGCCGAGCGGCACATCGCCGGGCTGCACGAGGCCGCCTGCGCGGTGAGGCCCGCTCCAGCCTGTCCCGCGGCCTCTGCGCCTGCGCGTGCTCAGCCCCTAGCCCCCGGAGGCAGCCCCGGGCGGAGGGGCAGGAGTTGTCGGTCCTGGGCCTCCGGCCTGGGGCGGATCGGCGTCGTGCGTCTGCTGGGAGGGTTCTGCGAGAAACCGGGCCGCACTCTTGCGTGAGAGTGGCACTCGGTTTCTGATCAGTCTTCCCAGCTAAAGGCTTGTCTCGGGGTGTGTGTGCTCGCGCGCGCCCTCCAGTGTGTGAGTGTGTTGGGTGGGGAAAGGGGTGTGAAGGAATCAAAGATGGAAACATGGAGACAGAAACGTACAGATATGTTGCCTGAGCACGGTAACTTGAGCTACCTGCTGCCATGCAGTGACTTTCATAATGAAAACAAGACAAGACAGATGCCTTGCATTTTTTCCTTATGTCCTCTCATCCTTTGTCCCTAAGTCCAAGTGAGCAGAGGAAATTACTGTCGGGCAAGTTTGCATTTTTCCCTATGCATTCTTAAATAACCTTTTCTTCTGGTTTGTGGATTTGACAATTGATTGTCACCACTAATATCCATCCTTATCTCCCCGCAGCTTCCCAACAACTCAGACTACAAGAGTTTGAAGATAGCATTATTTATTATATTCTAAGTTCTATAAGATATAAACGTGATTTGTCATAAACCTGTATAGTAAGCTCTTTGTTTGATAGTTCTTTTTTTTAAAATATTTATTTATTATGTATACAATATTCTGTCTGTGTGTATGTCTGCACAGAAGAGGACACCAGACCTCATTACAGATGGTTGTGAGCCACCATGTGGTTGCTGGGAATTGAACTCAGGACCTTTGGAAGAGCAGGCAGTGCTCTTAACCACTGAGCCATCTCTCCAGCCCCCTTGATAGTTCTTGATAAGACCACTGAGTGTTATTTTGGTTGGTTTGACCCACAGAGGTAAAGAGGAAAACCTTGACCGTTTCCTAAGGTTGACATCTCTCCCTTGACAATAGTTGGCCCTGGGAATCTGCTGACCTTTTCAGGGGTTGAAAGTAAATAAAGAGTCATCAAGAGATTATTGGCAGTATTTGATTATTCTTGCTCATCCTCTTATTTTAAGTATGACACATGGAGTTTGTCCCCACTAGTCACCATGTAAGGTAAAACCCGGAAGTCTCATTGTTTTCAGTGCGTGTGAAGACTGGTTCAGTCAACATGGGGGAAGAAAGGAACTTGCCTTTCCTGGGGAACCCACGACTGTTTCATCATTGTTTCACAGATTACAGGACAGTCCAAGAGACCCTACATAAAACCCCAAATAAGCTTGATAGTTCTCTTTGCCACAAATCAGAGCTTTCAAACCACTGCACTTCTCCGTGCCTCAAGACAGCTAGGCCTCATAGCTCTTCTGCTGCTGATTGCATCCTCACTGGACGGCTTGCTTCCCAGTCACTGTCTGCTCGCTTGCCTCATCTTTGTTGCCATCATTATCCGAGGCTCATTTAGTGAGGGCCAATTGTGTATAGGCAGTCAGCAAACTCAGAGGTGCACCATATACACGCAGAGAGCGCGTGCGCAGGGGCAGCTTGCCAAATAATTGTCCCCAGGAAACACATGGAAGCTACCAAAAGTGAAGACTGCTCAAGACTTTGCAGTGTTTTGTTTATTTGTCTTCAAACATGAGCTTTGTAGAGATGGGAAGTTGAAAAGAAAAAGAAGTGAGGCCCCGGAAGTGGGCCATTCTACAGTGTTGACTGCACCTGGTGTCATATGACCCCGGGGATTTGGGAAGCCCTTGAAAGCATCATTGAGACTTGCTGGATTCTTAGCACTGTGGTCTATCTGTGTGGGTTGTGCCTTAGAGCAAACCTAGACTTGGACCAACATTAGTTGGTCTAAATGTCAACCATAGTTGAGTGATGTCATTAAATATGACACTGAACAGTTGAAGATGCTCATGACTAAAAAAAGTGTATGGCATAGCCGGTAATACTTTTCACCCAACATGTTGCTGTAAGCTTGAGGCGAGCCTGGACGACCTAGTGAGTTCCAGGCCAGGCAAGGCCATATGGTGAGACCCTGTCTCAAAAACAGAAAAGAAAAAAGAAAAATGTATGTCTAAAGACCTGCTGCATATTTCTTGCACATTTTAATGAAAGTCTACATGCAAGAGTGATATGCTGAGCTACTGGAGATGAAGGTGTTACATAAAAGTTTATAGGGAAGCTTCCTCTAAAATCTGGAGGCTAAGAAGCATCATTAAAGTGATACTTGTGCATAGGTGGAAAATGCTTCCCTGACACTTGAAGTTGTATGCTGGAAGTTGCTTTTGCTCAAGCTTGTTAAACCAACAATACTTTGTTTCCTGTAAGACTAGAGCTAGCGTTAGTGGGAGCTGGGGAGGAGGGGAAAATAGTGTGGACTGTGTAGCGGGGCAACACATCATGAAGGTATAGAGAGTGTTCAATAATAACAAAGGTAATGCTTTTCTGCAAGGGCTGTTTGGCTTTGATTAGCACCTTTTCTGTGGATTTAAATCATTATCCACATATTGTAAGTACTGAAATTGTAACTGCAACTTCTGAGTGGAGTTCATTTTCAGCCTCTTAGGCTCTTAAAATCATCTAAATCACTTGTTATTGAGCTCGTTGCCTAGAAGCTGGATGAAAAGTATCAGAGAGGTGGCTACATAGTTATTGCATACAGAGGACTTCTTGTTTTTCCATCAGCTTCTCATTTTACTGAAGCTGTATGTTTTTCCCTTTAATCACATACAGTTAGATTGTATATAACATTGAAATGCATTTGCTTCTTTATTGCAAACGCCACTAGATTACTGGGAAAGAAATTTAGTATTACTCTTATTTTTACAGTAGTTTTGGACAAAAAAATATTACTAGGGAGGTATGATGAACATTAACAAAGATTAATACATTGTTTTATTACTCTTCAGGCTGGCCAGCTAAGCTATGTGGACCCAGCAACAGGGTACGTGGTGTTCACAAGGCTGGCCCACTTGCAGAGAGGTGCCTGCTGCGGTTCTGCCTGCAGACACGTGAGTAACAGTTCTCGAATTACTCAAGCAGTTGGCTGAGCTTCTGTAACTTCATAAATACCTATTATTTGAACAACAAGTCATATAAAAAAGCTAAATAGACCTAGAGTGTGCTTTTCACTAGCTGTTTCAGCAAAGGACAACGAAGCTGTTAGTACCAACACAGGACCTTTAAAGTTAATGGAATTCTGTACCGTTTCATTGCAAGCATCAGCTCCTCCAAAGGCTAAGACTTGAAATTCAGAGTAACTCTTTATTGGGAGGAAAGCTTTCACAAAGTCTGAAAGAAGTTGTCTTCACTAGGCAAGCACAGAGAGCAGGAAGAAAATTCAAAAAAAAAAAGAGAGAAAGAAAGGAGGGAAGGAAGGAAGGAAGAAAAAAGAAAGAAAGGAAGAAATAAATAAATATGTTGGAGCTCAAGTCCTGGAAATCCTGCTATCTTAAGAAACAGACATTTGCCCATCATTTGAGACATGGATCTCGCAAGACTTCCTCTGCTTGCGTTCCACTCCCTGCTTCACAGTCCCCCTTCCCTGGGCAGGTCTCCAGTACTGGTGCTCTACTTTCCTATAGTTCCTATCCTCTCTATCTCCCTCTCCACCCTCTCCCCCTCCTGTCCTGTTCTTCCCTGTTTCCCTTTCTTCTAGTCAGTGTTTAAAGGAACTGTGTGGCTATGTTACTCCAAAGTTAGTGTTGCAGGTCTGAGTAGGCTTATTCAGGAGACTCATACCTGTGTTTAACAGTCAAAGTGAATGACTATTCCTTCCTCTATTCTGAGCATAGAAGAAATCAGAGGGTTTTTTTTTTCTATTGTGAGGCATACCACTGGGACGTATTGTTATTTGGTTAAGATTGTAAGCAGATAACAACTGTTTACAGAACACTTTGAGTATTTTTCCTGCAAGAAGATATTATTTCTTTCACTAGTCCACGTTCTCATTAAAGACCAGTCACCAGTACACATATGAACTGTAGACAGTTTTAAATGTCAGTCTTCACATTTATGGATACTCCTACCTATGCCACGAGCTGTTCCTAATCAAATGCATGACAGCATCGCATAAATGTAGGGCCTATAGATTTCGTAAGATTGGGGGTTTGACAGTAAAATTCTTGAAGTTGGAAGGATACACTTAGGAAATGGTTCTTGAACCCTAATTAGGACTATTTACCCAAGGTCCCATTGTGTTGTTTAGTACCCAAGATATGTCCCACCGTGAGACATGCACATTCCCACAGTGACTGTTAAATAATTTGATAATAATTTGTTGTCCTTCTTTTCCAGTGTCCATATGGCCAAGTCAATGTGAAAGATCCATCTAAAAGGAAGCAATTCAACTCCTATTTTTATGTTTGACAACAACTTTATCTCTGTTCTGTCTAGTTGAACTTACGTTTTTGAAAATAAAGTCTTAGCCTGGAATTCTTATCTGTTATAAATATCTGAACACTGATTTAGTATTAAGTACAAACATTCAAACAGACATCCATAAAATGGACATTATTTGCTGCGTGATCACATGCATATGTTGAAGAAGCAAATAATGACTGTCCTATTACATGAAAGTAGCAGTTGGGCCATAAGAGTAGCTTTGGGTTTTCATTAGCTTTGCTTTTCCCAATGTTTCTCATCAGTGCAAGGAAGGTTGCTGGCAACTAGCAAGTACATTCTTTATTTTATGTGTATCTTCAACTTCAGGATATAATACCATGTAGTGCAGGATATGAACACCCAAGAAATACCACCCTCCTGCAAAGATGCTCTCATTGTCCATCTGCACTTTCAGTGAGAATCTCAGACCATTTTGATATGGGGGTCAGACCACCAAACATGCCTCCCTTAGCCCAGCCTTCATTCTCCCTCTACCCAGTCCTCTCCATTTTCTTCTGACATTTCTGAGGCAAGGCTACCTTTGAACATCTTCCTTGCTCTGCATACCCTTTATCCACTGTGGTGATTCCCCTGTGAGAGTCCAGCCTCTAGCGAGGCATTATCTCCCAGGGGTTGTTCTTTTCTTACCTTCTCTGCTTCTGTTACAGAGCAGCAGCCCCTGGGAGGCCCTTTGTCTGCCAGGGGAAAAGTTATGCAATAACTGGCCCTCAGACATAAACTACTCAGAGATTTTCAGGTTTTAATCAACCAAAAGGTTCTAGTGCCTTCTTTAATATTTGTCCCCAAATTAAAGTCCTTAGCTATAAAATATGTGAAAATAAATCTCTAGTGATTCTGATTCTCTTTAATTACTACTTTGTTATTTACATACTTTCCATGCCTGGTATTAAATAGCTCCCAAAGCCTGTTGACCACATTGATGGATCAGGTCTCTGACCCTGATCTCTAGAAAGCACCCCCCAAGATGCAAGTAAGGTGCCTGCAGCTTCCTTGGATTAAAATGCTACTATATTGGGCCTGGGATTGTCATATCCACAGTTATTCTGAGGAAGGGAGTAGCTGTGTCATAAGAATTCCTTGAAGTCACTTTCTTTCCCATTCTTAGGTTCAGGAGCAATTGCACTTCTACTTTTTAACTAAAATTGAAGATTAACCAGATAGATAGTCTCTTGGGTGGTGGACGGGTGATGATGATGTTCTAAAGAAATACAGTCTAAAAAGGTTATCTTCCTGAAGAATCTAGAAAAGAAAGAAGGAGAGATTATGTTGAAAAGGAGTCCTACTTAAGAGAGTGTTTAGAAAAAAAAGACCCTTGGGAGATATAAGAAACTCCCAGGGAAGCCTTTACTCCCTGGATGCTCTTTCTTCCTCTTAGTTCAATCCTTCCAAAAAAAAAAAAAAAAAAAAAAAAAAAAAAAAAAAAAAAAAAAAAAAAAAAAAAAAAAAAA